CCTCTCCCCCTCCACTTGCCCTTCCCCCTCCCACCTGCTTCTCCATCTCCCACCTGCCCTTCCCCCTCCTCCTTGGGCCTGAGCAGCCCTCTCCCCTTGGCCTTCACTTCTCCCCGCCTCTGCCATTTCCCTCTGCCTTACGCATCTCTCACCTGGTGAGCTCCTCCCGGGGGAGCACACCTGTGTGGCACCCAGCACGCCACAGGTGTCCCGGAGCCAACGGGAACCCCGTCCCTCTCCCTGGAAAGAGCCACAGAATGATGGTTCCCATTAACCGTGAGAACCGGCGTCCACTGGCCGGGCTCCCTGAGCAGAGAGTGGGGGGTGGGGGGAGGAATCCACCACCCGGTCCTTTCCATTCTCTCCGTTTCCGGGGGGACTGCGGAGGCCCCAGCAGGCAGCCCCAGCGGCCCGGTCTTCCCACACACGGAGGCCAGATCCACCTCCTTGCCAGCGACTCTGCAGTCCCCCCGGCCTGCGCTGCTGTCAAGTTTCCTGGGGGCAGGGGCGGAAGGAATCCGGTATCTCCCCTCTGGCCTTCCTGCCTCGCTCCCAGCTGAGCAGAGTCCCCGGAATAACTCGGGGGTGACCCCCTGTGGCAGGTGCGAGCGGGGCTTGGAGCACGCCATCCCGCACTACATCAGCGCCTACCTGCCGCTGCTGCTCGTCCTGCTGGTCAACCCCATCCTGTTCGGCAAGACGGTGACGGCAGGTAAGGGCAGGGCAGCGCCCACGTGGTGGCCTGGGGTCCGGATCGTGACACGTGCTGTCCTTCTGGAATGATCCGTGGCGCTGACCTCACCCATCCTCCGAGACAGAAGCAGGATATAGGGGGCAGTGAGCAGCTGTGTACACCAGGGAGCAAGCCGCCGTGGCCATGGCTGCACACGTCCTTGGCCAGCGTCCCCTCCATGCAGCACCTGCCGGCTTCCCGCCCACCTGGGCTCCCCAGCCGCCCCGCTGTGGCCTGGAGATGGAGCAGCTGGGAAACTGGAGGGAGGCAGCAGCAGGAGGGAGAGGGTGAGGGTCCGAGGGCCTGCTTCCTGCTAGAATGCACTTGGTCCCCTTCTGGTCTCGGTCTCGGCAGGAGGCAGAGCGCAGGAGATGAGTCCTGCGGGCGAGGCCTGGCTGAGAGGGGCCTGGTCAGCAGGACGCACTCGAAGGCATCTAGGCTGGGGCTGGGGCTTCATCCGCCCGCCCGTCCCCTCCCCACGGCTCCGCCTCCCCACGGGAATCTCACCCGAAGAGTGAGAACCAGGGCAGCCATGATGGAGACTTGAAACGTGTTTTTAAAATCCTCACCCGAGGATATTGTCCATTTGATCTCCAGGGAGACTGGAAGGGAGAGTGGGGGGGAGAAACGTGGATGTGTGTGCCGGGCTGGCACGGCCATGGCATACTCAGCCCCAGGGCGCCTTATGTGCCAGCCAGCTCAGCCAGGTTCGGTGACCCTGAGAGGGGGCGGTGAAGGATGGAGGAAAGCTGGGTCTGGGTGGGACGCTGTCCTCTCTGATGGAGAGCTAGCGACAGCGCCACGGACTACAAGCCGAGTCTTTATTTTATAGCAGATTCCACGAGGCAAAGTCAGGGCGTGGTCAAGATGTTCCCAACATTCTCGTGGGTTTCGATCCTACTCAACTACATGCACCTGAACTCTATCAAGCCCACGTCACTCAGGCACGTGGGCCACGTGTTTGGACCATGGGTTCAAGCTCACAACTACAGCTGTTGGCTATAATTGTGCTGGGAGGGCCCTGCCCTCCAAGCTGGGACTTGCACGTGGCCGTGAGGGGACTGTGCCCTCTCCTTGGTCCGAGGCTTGAACCTGTCCGAACACTGTAGCTGCTCCCCACAGATGTGAGAGAGACGCATTGACTGGTTGCCTCCCACACGCGCCCTGACCAGGACCTGGGATAGAACTTGCAACCCAGGTATGTGCCCTTGGCCAGGAATTGAACCTGTGACCCGTGGACCAACGCTCTGTCCACTGAGCAATGCCAGCTAGGGCCCATTGTTATCACAGAAAATGTAAATCTTTAAAACGTAGCTCCTGAACTAGTAAAACTCAAAGTCCGGTTCCATAAGCGCTGGGACGGAGGTCACCAGGTCGCGTAAGATGTTACCATCGGGCTCTGCTCCAGGGCTCCCTGCCTCGTCCTGAGCATCGCGCATGCCCTCTCTTCACAGTGGCCTCGTTACTGAAAGGGAGACAAGGTGTCTACACGGAGAAGGAGAGGCGGATGGGAGCCATGATCAAGACCCGATTCTTCAAAATCATGCTGGTTGTCGTCGTCTGGTAACCTGTCTTCTCCTTGTACTTGTCACTGGGAAGGGACATGCAGACCCCTGGGCAATTTGCTTGTCCACGAGGGACCTGAGAGTTCTAGAGGAAGGAGTCTTTATATATATATGTATTTTTTTTAATGATTTCAGAGAGGAATGGAGAGGGAGAGAGATAGAAACATCAATGATGAGAGAGTCATTGATTGGCTGCCTCCTGCGCGCCCCCTACTGGGGATTGAGCCTGCAACCCAGGCATGTGCTTTTTTTTTTTTTTAATTGATTTCAGAGAGGAAGGGAGGAGAGAGAGACTGAAACATCACTGATGAGAGAGAATCATGGACCGGCGGCCTCCTGCACGCCCCCAACTGGGGATCGAGCCTGCAACTTGGGCGTGTGCCCTTGCCAGGAATTGAACCCAGGACCCTTCAGTCTGCAGGTTGACGCTCTACCCATTGAGCCAAACCGGCTAGGGCTAGGCATATGCTCTTGACCAGAACAAATCCTGGACCCTTCAGTCCTCAGGCCGCCCCCTATCCACTGAGCCACACCAGCCAGGGCCCAAGGGAGGAGTCTCTGGAGAGGAAACCTTTGGCTCTGGGCTAGCGGCCCTTCGAGGAAATGCACGCGGGACAAAAGGCAAGTCCACAGCCCCTCAGCCTCTGCAAAGAGTCAGATCCACGGAGATGGGACGGGAAGCCCTTAGAACACAACCCCGGCTTCACAATCCCAGCCCCAGCATCCGGGTGCCCCCTGCCAGGTTACCATGAAACACAGCATTGGCCCTGCCTTCTCAGTCCACCCACTCGTGTCAGTCTTGGCACCAGCTGCCTGTATCTAAGAAGCTCCAAGCGCGAGGGCACGGCTTTGGTGGGACACGTCAGAGCTCAGGCCAGAAGGGTAGAGAGCAATTTCTCTCTCCTCAGTTTCCCGACCACAGGCCTTCTGCCCAACATGGACGCTTTGAAATAGAACTGTGTTGCCCTGGCTGGTGTGCTCAGTGGATAGAGCATCAGCCTGTGGACTGAAGAGTCACGGGTTTGATTCTGGTCAAGGGCACATGCCCGGGTTGCGGGCTCGATCCCTCATAGTGGGTGTGCAGGAGGCAACCGATCCATGATTCTCTCTCATCATTGATGTTTCTCTCTCTTCCTCTCCCTTCCTCTCTGAAATCAATCAAAATGTATTTTTAAAAAAAGAGAGAGAGAGAAATAGACCTGTGTCCCATGCACGGCAGCAGGTTACAATCAGAAAACCCTTAGCTGCCGCAAAGCAACGCGTCCCAGGCGGGCCTGCCTTTGTGGGCGTGGCCACTCATGTGATGCCAGGAGGCTCGGGCACTGCGAGGGGAGGCGTCATTATTTTTCTTAAAACCTCATGAGCTGGCCTTGCCCATCTCACTGCCTCCCAACAATCACATCAAAGCATTAGGACATCAGCCCTAACCCGTGTGGCCCAGTGGATAGAGCGTCGGCCTGTGGACCAAAGGGCCCCAGATTCCATTCCGGTCAAGGGCATGTACCTGGGTTGCAGGCTCCTCCTTGGCCTAGGCCCTGGTCGGGGCTCGTGATGGATGCTTGTCTCTGTCTTTCCTCTCTCTTCCACTCTCTCTGAAAATCAATGGAAAAAAATCCTCAGCTGAGGACTAAAACAAACAAAACATCTGAACATCAGATGTCAGATAAGGCTTGCTTTGGTCTTGGTCCAAACCATATGCCACGCTTCGAACGAAGACCAACTTTGGGTTTGTCTGTCTCTGCGTGGGACGGGGAAGCAGCTGTGGGTCTTCCGTCAAATTCTGATGGGGGGGCAGTGCTTGTGGCCACCCCTGGAGGACCGTGAGCTCTGGGGAGACACGCCCTCTGTGGCTGATGTCCTCACCGGGCGGGCGGGCCATTGTCTTTCTCACAGTTGGTTGTCGAACATCATCAATGAAAGCCTTCTCTTCTATCTGGAAATGCAACCGGACATCAACGGAGGCGCTTTGAAATATGTCAGAAATGCGGCCAAGACCACGTGGTTTATTATGGTAGGTCAATCCTGATTTTAAATTTTCCTCTTGCAAAATAAAACCCAGCCCTGGTCCATGTGACTCGGTTGGTTGAGCGTCATCCCTGCAAAGTTAGAAACATCGATGAGAGAGAAACATCGATCAGCTGCCTCCTGCACACTCCCTACTGGGGATGTGCCCACAACCCAGGTACATGCCCTTGACCGGAATCAAACCCGGGACCCTTCAATCTGCAGGCCGACGCTCTATCCACTGAGCCAAACCGGTTTCGGCTCTATTTCTCTTTTATTGATGCTTCTCTCTCTCTTCCTCTCTCTGAAACGAATGTAAAAATACGTTTTAAAAGATTATAAATGTAGCCCTGGCCGGTTTGGCTCAGTGTGTCTCTCTCATGTCGATGATTTTTTTCCTTCCACTCTCTCTGGAAATCAATGGAAAAAATATCCTCTGGTAAGGATTAAAAATATATATATAAACATAAAAATTTATACTAAATACAGCTACATAATAACACACATCAAAATATATTGGCTAGAAATACACGCGATGGTCAGGTGAAAGCACATGGGTGCCCCCCCCTTCCGTTAGATTGCGTTTATAATAAAGACACAAACACGGGCCGGGCCCGTGGCTCAGGGGTTGAGTATCAACCTATGAACCGGGAGGTCACGATTGGATTCCTGGTCAGGGCACATGCCCAGGTTGCAGGCTCAATCCTCAGTGTGGGGCGTGCAGGAGGCAGCCGATCTATGATTCCCTCTCATCATTGATGTTTCTCTCTCTCTCTCTCTCTCTCTCTCCCTCCCTCTCTGACATCCATAAAAATATTTTAAAAAATACAGACAGGAGCTCTCAGTGGAAAAATACACGATGTCCTACACAGGCTTGATTTTGATGGCGCTTCGAAATCAGAGGAGATCTGATTGGCAAGGACTTGAAAGCAAGACCAGCGCTCCCGCCTCCTCCGGGCTGCGCCTGGCAGTGGCTTGGTGCCTTGGCTCAGGTCGTGTGTGGGTCCCCACAGAAGTGAGGACCGGTTCCCTGCCCCCGTGGCCTCAGGAGTCTGCAACATCAACCCGCTCGGCCACTCCAGGCGAGGCCAGCAGGGGGCGCGCCGCCTGCTGCCCGTGCTCACCTCACCACGGTCTCCCTGTCCCCTCCAGGGCATACTGAATCCCTCCCAAGGGTTCCTCTTGTCGCTGGCCTTCTACGGCTGGACCGGATGCCGCCTGGACTG